TCTCCAAAGCCCCAGTAAATAGTTGTCTATCCTAGTTGTAGGTCCTTCTAGTTCTCCTATGTGAGCCACTGCCACAGCACGGCTACTGACAGATGAGAGGTATGGTTCCACGCTGGGGAATTGAAGCTGGGCCACCGAGGTGGAGCGTGCCAAACTTTAACCACCAGGCCATCAGGGCTGGCTCTGCAGCAGATCCTCTTCTTGAAGGGAGAATTAGATTACTCTGTTTTTGGCTTCCTGCTTGATTATAAGTTCCTGAAGGACAGAGACAGGGCATTTACAACTTTGATTTCTCTACCACCACCACCACCCCCTCCCCCCAGTAAAAGATGTTTAAATATTTTGTTTGCCTGGAGAGAGGGAGGGTAGTGCCACAGCTATTAGAAAGTGTGTCTTACCTTAAACCTACCGTTCAACAGACTCCATGAATCTTCTCCAGCTTTAATCCATTAACCAATATCATTTAGGCACTTCCTGTGTGTGAGGGATGGTGAGGAAGGTACTATATGAACAAGCAGAGCAAGTGCCTGCTGTCTGTTATTTCCCATTCCAGAGGGGACATAGGTAACCTTTTCTGCCCTAGGGCTTTGCACGCACTAGGCATTTAATAAATTTAACTTGAAGGAGGAAAAAGTAAATGATAGAAGACATCATACAAGTGTAGGATATGATTGACATAATTGTAGGGAAAAAATGCTATTCTTTGGATAAAGGTAGATAATGGAAACCTTTAATTCTAGGTATTAAATAGTCATCAACTTAAACTACCAGCATTTAATATTTTAAGGAGTTAGGACAGTATGACAATCTGTATAGATTTCATGAGCACGGAAAGCAGGGCTTTAACTTAAAAAGGTAATGATGGGATTTGTAGTGGCAAATTTTCTAAATGAGGAGGTAGTATGCAAATTCTTCGCCTTTATTGAAGGTATTGCTTTTCAAATTACAATATTGGCCTAAACAATAAGTGAGCCGTGGAGTTTTAGAACTATTCAGAATTTAGGGTTAACTTTGCTTCTTTTTCTTTTACACAGATTAGAATCTGGGAGGTCAGTTTAATTCAAAATAATTTTCTGAAAACCCAGTAACTCTGTTGAACCCTTAGATCTAGTTTAAGTACTAACTACTTAAGTCATACTTTTAGCATTAGAATGGCTATTTACAAGAGGAAGATGGGCATAGATGTTAGCTCAGGGCCAATCTGCCTCAGCAAAAAGAGGAAGATTAGCAATGGATGTTAGCTCAGGGGCCAATCTTCCTCACCAAATAAAATAAATTTAAACAAACAACAACAACAAAAGAATGGCTATTTACATATACTATAAATATTAAATTTTATCTTCAGAATTAAGCTAACAGTCTTGGATATTACTGATTTACTTGAATATACAATTTATTACAATTTTTAAATTTTTATGCTTTTTATGTATATATAAGGAAAATACATTCAATTAAAAAATCATGGACTATACTACTTAGATCTTTGAACTGTATGCTCTAGGAAAAAAAAAAATAAGTGATGGCCTCTTTTTTAAAAGCAGAAGTGAGGGGCCAGCCCCGTGGTGTAGTGGTTAAGTTTGGGTGCTACACTTCAACAGCCCGGATTTCACAGGTTCGGATCCCAGGTGTGGACCTACCCACTGCTCAACAAGCCGTGCTGTGGTGGTGTCCCACATACAAAATAGAGGAAGATGGGCACGGACATTAGCTCAGGGCCAATCTTCCTCACCAAAAAAAAACAACAACAACAACAACAACTAATAATAAAAGTAGAAGTGAGGTGAATGCCTGTCAGCAGTGATAAGATTCAAATAAGTAATCAGAGAACACCCAGCCACACATCTCACGGTGTGCCCCAGCCAGCATCTCTTTGGAGGAGGGAAAATTACTGTTTTTAATCCAGAACTGATCTTGCAGCTTCCCAACAGGGCTCGGATATGGCTCTCCTAGCTTCTGCCAAACTGTAGGGAGAAGAAAGGCAATGAGCCCTTGAGATAAAGAAGAAAATTTGCTTGGGTTTTCATGTCTGGAGGAGGTAGCCTAGGATTTAGAGTTCCTGGTGGACCCAAAGGAGCCAAGGAAGACCCAGGGTGCAAAGTTCTAGGCAGAGAGGAGCCGGTGCCAATGCCGCAGATCTTGACTCTCTGGTCCAGGTCATCCCCTTTACTCCCACTACAAACACGAGAAGGTGGTGGTGGTCCCAACTTTCCCGGGGTAACCGCATAAATGGGACTTAAAGCCCGTTTCTCTTCACTCCAGGACCCACATTGCCTCAAGATTGGAAGTGGCTTTGGGATTAAGAGTTAATTTGAACAGTTAAAGTTTAGAAAAGTGTATGTTTGTGTTGGCTTCTTTGAGATCCTGCCCTAAAGTGTATAGGCTCATATACTTGTAATAAATAGTGTGCGCATCAGTTAGATTTTCTCTTCCTCCTGCATGAATGTCTTATTTCCTACTTAAAAGTCTAATGGTATGGAGGAGCGTGGTTTAACCTGGATAAAAAAATTATGAGCACTAAAGCCATTTGGACCATGTATTCGGCAGAAACTGACCAGAACTTAAGCTAATTTAACTTTTGCTCTTTAAAAAGGGCAGCCCCTGGGCCCGCCCTGTGGCTTAGCTGTTAAGTGCACGCGCTCTGCTGCTGGTGGCCCGGGTTCGGATCCTGGGCGCGCACCAACGCACCGCTTCTCCGGCCATGCTGAGGCCGCGTCCCACATACAGCAACTAGAAGGATGTGAAACTATGATGTACAACTATCTACTGGGGCTTTGGGGGGCGGAGGGGGAAGGGCCAGCCCTGCAACCAAAAATCCAAGTGACAGTGTTACAACATGGTAGTGCCAATTGTAAATTGACTAGCAACAAATCACTTCACGGATTTTAAAAGCATAACTGATATAAAGTGATAATCTAAAATTTGGTTTCTTGTCTGCTTTTGTTTTTGTTCCACTTACAGAATAGGGTTTATGGAAAGTCAGCAATAAGTATTTAAATTTGGCTTGGTCATATTATAATAGGATAAATATTTTAAGGGTTTAGCCTCAATGCTTAAACATTGCTGAAAACCAGTAAAGACTGGATCATTTGAGGTTGGCCCCGTGGTGTAGTGGTTAAAGTTCCATGAGCTCCGCTTCAGCGGCCTGGGTTCTGGGTTCAGATCCTGGGTGTGGACCTACACCACTCATCAGCCATGTTGAGGTGGTGACCCGCATACAAAATAGAGGAAGATTGGCACGGCTGTTAGCTCAGGGCTAATCTTCCTCAAAAAAGAGAGGAGGATTGGCAACAGATGTTAGCTCAGGGCAAATATTCCTCACCAAAAATAGACTGGATCATTTGCATCTCAAGCTAAAAACTTGGGTTCTTGGTCAAAAAATCTTTTTCTTAAGATAGGGACATTTATACTATTGTTGAGCTTAGGAATGGATGGGGCTAATGAGATGCTGAAGGAGCCCTGCTCAGTGCTTGGCCAAGTTTTCTAGACTGGAGATGGAGGTATGAGGCCTTGGCCTTGAGAAATACAGCCAGCCCCAAGTGGCAGTCCTTGTCAGATAAAAACGAATCTATTAGGTAAACAAATTAAAACAGGGGTCTACTCTGGGACCAAACTACCTGCAATGAGGCATGTAAGTCTCTAAATTGAAGATTCCTGGAACTTTATTTTACATAATAGGACAATCCCTAAATGGTTGAACCATGCCCTGGGGCTCACAGAAATGTCCAGGGTGACAAGCCAGCATATAGTTGTGGCTGCCTGCCAATTAGATTATGTCACCTTCTCTAAACATTCCAGTGGTTCCCATCTGACACCATCTTTCTCTGAGTTAAAGCCAGATGGTCCTATGGTACCCTCACATCTCAACTCTAGTTCCTCTCCTTCCTCCTCAGTCTCCCTCATTCTGCTCCAGCCACCCCAGGCTCTAGGCGGTTCCTGAAACCATCTGGCACACCCTTCCTTGGAGTCCTGGGGCCCTCTGTGACCTCTGCCTTACACTCTTTCCCCTGAAATCTGTATGGCTCGATTCTCCACCTCCTTCAGCTTCTTTCTGAAGTGTCACCTGGCTACCCTATTTAAAATAGCAACCCTGGGGCCATCCCCGTGGCATAGAGGTTAAGTTCTGTGTGCTCCGCTTTGGCCGCCTGGGTTCTCGGGTTCGGATCCTTGGTGTGGACCAATACCACTCATCAGCCGTGCTGTGGCAGCAACCCACATACAAAATAGAGGGAGATTGGCACACATGTTAGTTCAGGGCTAATCTTCTTCAAGCAAAAAAAGAGGAAGATTGGCAACAGATGTTAGCTCGGTGTGAATATTCCTCAGCAAAAAAAAAAAAAGTTAATTAATTAATTATTAAAATAGCAATCCTTACCTCTAGCTACATAATGTGCTCAAAGCTACTAAATGGGAACTGAGATTCAAATCCACGGTCTATACCAAAACCCTGATCTTCTCAGCCTTCCATGTTTCCATGTGTGACTCTTTTTTAAAGCTTATTAAAGATTTCTAAATGATAGTAGTATATGCAAGATTGCAGTGGTTTTTGTTTTTGTTTTCTTCGTTATGATTCAGAAACTGTTCGAATGCTGTCTTAATTCGAAGTGTAAATACATAAAGCAGACAAAGGCAGAGATGCTGTGATTGAGTTGAGTTGGGGGCCTGAGCCCTGTCCCCTTGGCTTCCTTGTCCTCTCGTGGGCCTCTGGGGGGGATTCCCAGAACTGCTTCTGCCATGCCCAGCTTCAAATCGATTACCCAAGGCACAGCCAGCCTAATGAATCTTCCCTAAAAGCTGTTCAAGCTTTTCAATCAGCCTCTGGATGGAGGTTTGCCAGCAGGGCTTTTTCTATAGATCCAATTTCGGCAGCAAACGACATTGACGATGTAAAAGAAACATTAGCAATCAAATGTAATGATTTTGAGAACAGCTGCCAAATTCTTAGCTTTTGTATGTCAAGTGAATGTTGAGATTTCTTTTCTTTTTTAAAAATTATTTTTGAGGCATTGACTTTGCCACCCGCAAGAAAGCCAAGTTGCTGAAGCCACAAAAAGTGATTGAGGGCCGGCCCCGTGGCTTAGTGGTTAAGTGCGTGCGCTCTGCTGCTGGCGGCCTGGGTTCGGATCCCGGGCGCGCACCGACACACCGCTTCTCCGGCCATGCTGAGGCCGCGTCCCACATACAGCAACTAGAAGAATGTGCAGCTATGACATACAACTATCTACTGGGGTTTTGGGGGGAAAAAATAAATAAATAAAATCTTTAAAAAAAAAAAAAGAAAGTGATTGAGCAAAATGGGGATTCTTTTACCATCCACAGGTACAGCAGCTTAAGGAATTACCTTGTTCAATTTAAAGTTGGAGAAGAATTTGATGAAGACAACAAAGGCCTGGATAACAGAAAATGCAAGGAAAAAACACAAGCTCTTCACTTTGCAAGGTTAACTTGGCATTCTACTTAGTAATAGTCGAGGATCCTGCCTGAGCAAACCAACGTTTTCCCTCCTCTCTCAGACAGAGCTTGGTTACCTGGGACAAGGGCAGACTCACCTGTGTCCAGAAGGGGGAAAAGAAGAACAGAGGCTGGACCCATTGGATTGAAGGGGACAAACTCCACCTGGTACTCGCCACGTTTGGTTCTTATTTTTGATGAGATGAGACAATATTAAAGAAAATGTTAAACAGGAAACCATGACCAATAATCCTACCATTTCAATCCAGAGGTTTTCAATCTGGCATATTACTTTCCAGTCTGTCAGAATATTCTGCCTTTTCATTTAATATATTCTGCCTTTCATTTAATATAAAATGTTCCAGGTTTCTAAATAATTTTCCTGTTGAATTCATCATGTATTAATTGAATATGTATAATAAGGTAGCAAACTGGCTGCATAATATTCCATTAGGTTGATGAACTTTCATTTTAGTAAAACATTTTCTTAAAAGTGTCCAGAAGTATTGTTTCAGGGTGTTTTCTGCTATTGCTTAAATTCACGTACATAGGGCATTTTGCATCCATGGATTTATTCCCTTAGGAAGAATTCACAGAGGGATCGCTGTTCTCAGAGACACACACATCATTGCCTCTTGCTACGTTGTTGCCTCACTCACTTCCAAAACGGAGTATCGATTTCCTGTGCCACCAGCACTTCATGAACGTACACGTTGTAGCTCAACCTAATCAATAATTTATAAATATAACTTAGAAGGTATAAAATTGTACCTCAAGACTTACTCATGGCTTTTTAAATGAGAATTCTTTCCTGCCACATATAGTATAATGGCTTACATTTTTTGAGTGATGATTTTTTGCCCAATTACTGTGCTAAGTCCTTTGAGTGCATTATCTCACTTAGTCTTCAAGACAGTCCTGTGAAAGGGACACAATTTTTCCATTTACAAATGAAGAGATGGAGATTTAGAAATTCCCCAAGGCCACAGAAAGGAGCTGGTGGTCTAGCGATTAAGATCTGGCGCTCTCACCACCATGGCCCGGGTCCCTGCCCCCGTCAGGGAGCCACACCACTCGTTCCTCAGTTGTCACACTGTGGTGGCCGTGTGTTGCTGTGATGCTGAAAGCTATGACACCAGGATTTCAAGTATCAGCAGAGTCACCCGTGGTGGACAGGTTTCAGCAGAGTTCCCAGACTAAGACAGATTAGGAAGAAGGACCTAGCCACCCACTTCTGAAAAATTGGCCTTGAAAACCCTATGAATAGCAGCGAAGGATTGTCTGATGTAGCACCGGCAGGTGAGAGGATGGCGCAGAAAGACCAGGCAGGGTTCCGCTCTGTTGTATATAGAGTCACCAGGTTCTGACTTGAAGGCGCTACCAGCAGAGGAGAGATTCAAATCTAAGGCTAACAAGAATGTGTGCTTTCAACTCTATGCCTTTTTTGCCTCAATATACATGTGAAATCTAGGTGAGATCCATGAAAACAAAATTAGAGCACTTTTAAAGTTGAGTCTGGGGGGTCTTTGAGGGTCTCAGTGGTCTTTGATTACAAAGGCATTGAAGATGTTTTGATCCTAGATTGCCACACTTTCCTGACAATAAAAACAAAGTAAGAAACTTGCCATCACAAAAATGTAATATAGAACTGCAAAGAAAATACAAATTTCTTTGAGGATTCAGACTAGTTGGCTGTAAGAAGTAATATTCACATTGCATGTGTCCCTCTTTGTCATATCCAGAAACTCTGCCCACACAAAGCATAGAAGGACCCCTGCTCTAAGGATACTCATGGGACGATTCTTACAGGATGTGATATAATAAAAAATGAATAGTTGGTTGTTGTACTCAGTTCCTAAAACCCTTGAAATCTCCAGAGTAATGAGTGTCTTCTGTATGCTTATGAGATGACTTGTGACTGGGGGGCCTCTAGAGCTCCAGGATGGGGGCTGGTCCCCAGAAAGATCAAGGCATGATTAGAGGGTTGGAACTTTCAGCCTGGCCCCCGACCTCTGGGGAGAGGAGACAGGCTGGAGATTGAATAATCACCAATAACCAATGATCTAATCAATCATGCCTATGTAATGAGACCTCCATAAAAACCCCTAAATGATGGGATTCAGAGAGCTTCCTGGTTGGTGAACACACTGAGGTGCTGGGAGGGTGGCGCTCCTGGAGAGGGCATGGAGATCCACGCATACACCTGCCATACCTTCTCATATGCATCTCTTCCATTTGGCTGTTCCTGAGTTGTAGCCTATACATGCAAGTAAAAAGCGTTCTTGAGTTCTGTGAGCCATTCTAGAAAATTATTGAACCTAAGGAGGGAGTCACAGGAACCCCCAATTTATAGCTGGTTAGTCAGAAGTTTAGATGGCCTGGGACTTGCCATTGACATCTGAAGTGAGCCCTTAACCTGTAGGATCTGCACTAACTCTGGGCTGTCAGTGTCAGAATTGAATTGAATTGTTGGACACCCAGTTGGTGTCAGAGTTAGAGAAGTGGCATTGGAAAAGACAGCACATTTGGTGTCAGGAGGGAAAACCCCCACACATTTGGTGTCAGAAGTGCTGTGAGTAATTACAGACCGCATGCCCATGTGCCAACTCATCTTCTTTCTTCTTCCCTTCCTCCTTATCCCTAGGAAATGTTCTGTGAAGGACAAGTGTGCAAACAGACATTCCGGAGAGCCTGATCTCTATCCAACAACAGAGCCCACATGTGGCTGCAGCTTAATGCCAAATTATATTCCAGAATGAAGAGATGTTAAACTGTCCTGGTTTGGCGATGGGGCCTTGCGGTCAGAGAGATGTCACATAGCCTGTACCAGAAGCTGTCTGGATTGTGGAAAAACTGCTCAGCTTCAATAGACCTGTCCAGGGCCAGCCCCGTGGCTTAGCGGTTAAGTGCGTGCGCTCTGCTGCTGGCGGCCTGGGTTCGGATCCCGGGCGCGCTCCGACGCACCGCTTCCCCGGCCATGCTGAGGCCGCGTCCCACATACGCAACTAGAAGGATGTGCAACTATGACATACAACTATCTACTGGGGCTTTGGGGGAAAAAATAAATAATAAATAAACCTGTCCAACAGCTCTGATTTTTCTCCTTCTAAATTTAGCATATCTCATTATTTTAAGAGATATTTGAAAGCCTTCTAGTTATGCAATGGACACACCAATGGACAAGATGTAATTCCTGCCTCAAGGTCTAGTGAGGAAAATGAATGAAACAAGCATTCTGAGCAGTGCTAATTAGTACAGGCAGTTGTGAGAGCTCAGGAGGGGCAAACCCAACTTTTGGGGATGGACAAGTAGTGACAGGGGTCTGGGGTAGTGGAGATGATCTTTTTTTTTTTTTTTTTTTGCTGAGGAAAAACCGCCCTGAGCTAACATCCACTGCCAATCCTCCTCCCTTTTATCCCCAAAACCCCAGTAGATAGTTGTATGTCAAAGTTGCACATCCTTCTAGTTGCTATATGTGGGTCGTGGCCTCAGCATGGCTGGAGAAGCAGTGCGTCGGTGCGTGCCCGGGATCCGAACCCGGGCCGCCAGCAGCGGAGCGCACACACTTAACCGCTAAGCCACGGGGCCGGCCCTAGTGGAGGTGATCCTTAAGCTAAGATCTGAAACATAGGTAAGCAGGACATCAGGAAGCGTTCTAGGTGAAAGGCTGGAGTAAGTTGGAGGGATATTTGAAGAACTGCAAAGATTGTTTTAGCTGGAGCATAGGGTATATGTGGATGGGGTGGAGTGGGGTCTGGAGAGATGACAGAGGAGACTGGAGTGACACGCAGGGGCCCTATCATGAAGAACTTTGAAGGCCAGGTAAAAGAGGTAAGATTTTGTCCCCAGAGTAAGAAGAAGATGGTGAAGGGGATGAAGCAGGAGATCTGCAGGACCAGGGTGGCTCATAGAAAGGATATCGACTTCAGAGGGAAGAAAGGATTGTAGGTGGGGGATGCAATTTGAGAGGCAGTTTAGAAAGTCCTGGTAGAATGAGATGACATAGGTCAGGAACACCTGGAGCCCAAGTCTCAGATACAGGAAAGGAGTTGGGGCTGGAGAGAAATAGCCAATTGTTTAGGAAGCAGAATCCATAGTCCAGACAAGTGACTGATGAGATGTAAGGACAATGGAAGCAGTGAAGAATCAAGGAAAGTGCACTGTTTTTGGTTCAGGCGTCTGTAGGAAGGTCGAAGCCAATCAGAAAGAAGGCAACAGAAGCAGAAGAGGGAAGCGGAGTTCAAGCTTTAGATTTGTAGGTGCCTGTGCCCAGTGAGAGCCAGGCTGCCAGGATAGTTGGGTCGGGAGACACGTACAAGTTGTCAGGCACATACTATGCATATGGATGAGACTGTCCAGGACATTGTGTTTAAGGTGAGAAGAGAGAAACCCGAGGTACAAAACCTACAAAGAAAGGGTGGCCAGGGCTGGAGAAAGAGGGTGACATCAGGGAAGCCGAGGAGAACAATGGTTCAGGGAGGACAGCAATGAAATAGATTAAACAGAATTCAATCGGGGCCTCCAGACAGGGGCTCTGCCCACCTGGGAAGCAGAGGAAGGCTTCTGGAAGAAAAGGAGCTCTCCAAGGAATGGAGCGCGCTGCAGAGCCAGCACCGTCCGGTTCCCGAGAATTCCAAGCGACTCAGACACTAGAAAGAGGTCGGAGAGCAGCGGAGGAGAGCGGCCACCCAGAGATTTTGTAGTTAAGTGGGGTTGGGGCAGGGTGACCAGTCTTAGGTAGCTCGGGATGCTGCGGTGGAGCAGGGAGGACCCGATGCGCCCCCTCCTGGATGAGTCGCACATCCTCCTCTCCCCAGGTCCACTGGGGAAGGAGGGAGGGTCCTTACTCTTTTTTTAATTTTTTTTTTTAATTTTTATTTATTTATTTTTGTGTGAGGAAGATCAGCCCTGAGCTAACATCCATGCTAATCCTCCTCATTTTGCTGAGGAAGACCGGCCCTGAGCTAACATCTATCACCAATCCTCCTCCTTTTTCTCCCCAAAGCCCCAGTAGATAACTGTATGTCATAGCTGCACATCCTTCTAGTTGCTGTATGTAGGACGTGGCCTCAGCATGGCCGGAGAAGCGGTGCGTCGGTGTGCACCCGGGATCCGAACCCCGGCTGCCAGTAGTGGAGCGTGCGCACCCAACCGCCAAGCCACGGGGCGGCCCCCAATTCAATTCAATTCTGACACTATCTACCAGATCCCACAAGTTAAAGGGCTCAGTCCTACAAGACTGCCCCCACTTCAGATGCCAG